TGAGGGTATGTACATGTATATCTGTACTTATGTGCACTATATGCTGTGGGTGTGGGGAGAAAGGTGAGATAGAGGTTGTGTCAGGTTTTTTTTTTTTTTTTTAAGTAGTTATGTTAGAGAGCTTAAGCAGGAGAGATGAGAGAAAGACGGGGCTGATGCAACCAGGAGACACACAGACAAATGTTTCAGAGTCACTAACACAGACATGGACACACACAGGTTCATATTGTAGGTGCACTTAGGAAAAAGCAAATTAAATACTTACTGCTGTATATGTGTGTGTTTATGTAAGAATAAACATTGCACACACATGCATCCAGATATAAGGCGATGTATGCACGTTTCTTAAACTGATTTATATTCTTTTATTGCACTTTTATGTTGGAATAAATATAACATACACATTAATAAAATAGTACTAATGTTTAATTTACAACCCACATTATTGAAAAAGCTCATTGATTGGATATTTGATGAGATCACAAAGAGCTTCGAGCTGCACCAGTAACTGTGCGCAGTAGAAGTTTGTGTACAAACAGCTACACTGCTATATTGTACACACTTCATCAACTGTAAGATTTTTATTGTAGTCATGAAGAAGCTATATTAGGGTTTTATGTTTCTGAGAAAAAAAACCTCTATGACCAATAGATGCCTTAAACTAATTTGTAAACCTGCATGTATGATCTCTCACCTTATACAGGCTGATAAACTGGAACCATGGCCGTTGTTTATGTGTAAATCTGTGGCTACTTACAAGAATGTTGTGGAGCATTCTTCAAGAGAAGCCAGGGCTAAATGCCATGAAATTGATTTTAGTCAGGCTACAGCACAACTGATTTACGCAAAGCTGAGATGTTACGGCAGCTTTTTAAATGGCAGCAGGCTGTCACAGTGCTCCAGGAGACCTTTCTGTATGCAGAAGTTCATAAGAAGCAGCATGTGTGTCATTGTGGTTTTCTTCATCATTATTTCTAACATTCACTGAAATAGACTGTGGGCAGTGTCACTGTATATTTTGATTTATATTTAGATTTTGGAATATGAAGCACAGCAACAAGTCTTTTTGCTGCAAACCACTCACTTTACTTACTTTGATATTTCAAAAGTCTTTAAAACTTACTTATGTCCAAGCTCATATCCTTTACATTGAATTGGGTAGTGTCATCAGCCCAGTATATCTGTGGAAAAACTTATCAAGAGTAGCACAAGAAGCTAACAGTAGCTTCCTGGTTACATCAAGTGGACAGTTTAAAGTACAATAAAAGCTGTTATTTAGCTTTTTGTGGCCATGTGTTGGGGAAAAAAAATCCATGTTTCTCAAACGAAATTCCAATAACCAAAACATACACGAAGCCTAGTGACACATATTTCTGTCCATATTCAAAACCCCAAGGCTGGAATCATTATGCGTCTGGTGCTATGGCACAGAGGGCTCAGGACTTTGCCTTTAAGACTGATATTTTTGGAGTGGGTGCAATGGCTTAGATCCCTTTAAGAGCAGAGGATTAGGATGATGCTGATGCTTCGTGTCTTGGCCTGGGTGCCTGTGTGTCTTGCTGCCTCTGCCTGTATGTCAGCTTTCTCTGTGTGGGGCTGGCCTTTGGAGCCAGATTTACTTGCTGCATCTGGCTGATGTGCACACAGATTTCATGGTAGAAAGCAAGAGAGAGGGAGAGAATGAGAGACACTGGTATCAGAGAGATGCTGTGCGCCTGCGTGCATGGGTGTGAATGTGTGTTGCATGTTCAACGAAGCTAACTGGAGCAGGGTGTCCAGGATGCATACACGCTTGATGGCCTGGCTGCAGCCTTGTGATACAAAACAGTCAGCATTAGTGTGTTTGTGTGTGTGCGCGGGCACTATGTCCATGTGTGGAAATGATGCATCAGTGACTCAACTTCTGCTGTCAAACATGTGCGTGTGACTGTGTATGCAAGTGTGACTGTGTGTGATGAGCAGCAGGACTAGACGGCTATCGTCGTCATTATTAGCAAACATTTTTTTATTAATTTTTTTCCTGTCTTATCACCTATCAGCTGTCAATGAGAAGCACTAATGAAAATACTCAAAGAAGCCCTGCATATTGCACATGAAATAAGGATATTCTGTGAAGTGACATTAAATCAAACAGTGTCTGGATGTTCACAAGTATCAACAACCATCCTTGGGTATAAATGCATCTAATTTTAGCATATATGCTAGGAAACAAATGTGTTGCTATCCAGTGCACGGCAGTAAATATCAGCCTAATAGTCTATTCTCTTGACCTTTCTTTTTCCCAGGTCTAGCTGGCCAATGCCGGACCCGTCGTGGATATTTGGTGGTGGTAGTAGCAGAAGTAGCGTGTATGTGAGTGCGGTCCCTGGCGCCTAGCCCATGTCCAGCACATAATGCCGTCGTCCACACGGAAAGGAGTACCGAAGGACCCCGAGTTGGCTGACCTCTTCTTCAAAGATGACCCAGAGGACGTTTTCTGTGACCTGCATGAGATCGGCCATGGCAGCTTTGGGGCTGTCTACTTTGTAAGTATCAGTTCACAATTATGGTAACTCTGGCTTTCAAAGGCCTTTAAGTAAATTAGAAATTATTCTTTTTGAGATAGATTTAAAGCACTTAATTTGAGTTTTGCAGCTTTAGTGATACAGATCTGAAAGAACAGCAAAAGTGGTTGGATCATTTAAGAAGTTGCATAAACACTTCTAACATTATATATTGCAGTTTATCATTGTTATTAGCTAGTTACATACGCACATACTTACACTTCCTGCTGAATAAAGGAATATGTATGCTGTAAATGTAGTGCACTACATTATGGCTCTTTGAAAGCAGTTAAGTGGAGACAGATCCTCTCTCAGCACTTTTTCTGTTTCTTATTAATCTCATCATCACTAATTACTCATCAAGCTTTGATATTAAAGCTGCATGGAGGAGGGAATGAAAAGCATCCTGTATTCTCCTTTTTCTCCTCCTTTCTCCCTCTTCCTCCAGATGCAGGACTAGGGGCGATAAGCCTCCTCCCTGCCTTGCAAGACAGCTGTTCTGTTGATATATAAATACAAAGTAGTAGTCAATGAAGGGGGAGGATTTTCTTGACTGCCAGGGCTTTACCATCCCATGTCATGTACACGTACACACGACCAGTACATCAGTAGTAGTCCTAGTACCCATGTCCGTCTGGCTGACAATCTCCAGTGTGTGTCTAAATCCTGCCCTGATGTCAATCCTGTGCTCACTGACACACTTGTACTACCCCTATTACAACAGTGCTTGCTGTCAGCAAGGGCAGTTTTTGTAAATGTTGTTAATAGCTTTATTTTTTCAGTGATTGAACTAAGGATACATTATAATTTAAAAAAAGAAAAGTTTTTATTGTGTTATACAAAATCGATACATACGATACTATCATCTAAAATGATATCTAAAATCATTGTCAATGGCAACTCATGTTTACAGCTTTACAAAAACTACTACTACTTACTCCCTTATGTTTCATATATGCTAATTTATTATATCTTTTAAGAACAGTATTTATTTAAACATCACAATATTTTCTATTCAAAGCAGGTAAGGTTGTTTTTTTTATTGTTTTGTTTTTTTAACCCATTCTGATACACTCCAACCTGAAGACAGGTTAGTATGAATTTTTGCCTGAGAGATGAATCAGTACATCAGTGAATCAGTTGCTGTTATCTATTACTAGTGGCTAATCGGAGCTTCTCTCACCTGATTTTTAGAAAGTGGATACTCAAAGGACACCTTTTGTTTGTTTGTTTTCTTTTTGAAGTTAGTCTGAATCTGTAAAAGTAATGACTATAGGAGAAAAAAAATACAGTAGTTACCACAGTAACTACTGTACAGCACGAGTAACTCCCATTACAGAAGGAAACAAGGGGAAATTACCTCCTGAGAACACAGACCCAACACCAACAAGGGGTTCACACACACCCTGATAATGGTTGCTGAATTAAAGAGTTTGTAATTAGTAACACATTCCCTTCTAATGCATACAATAGCATATACAATAGCAATAGCAATACAATTAGCCTATTTAAATTTCTTAGTTTTGATTGATTTTTGTTTCCTCATATGTAATGCCATCTAGCTGCATCCTATCATAAGAGGAATGCATGCTCTTATGCATAAACTGACAGGCAATCATTGGGATCAAATTAATCTGAAAAAAAGTCAAATGGGAATACTCTCTTGCCTCCTGTTACTGTAATTCCATTTGAATCTCAACATGAATTTCCCATTCAATTGTATATGGGATGAAGCTCAGATAAGGGCTTAGGCTGAGCCACAGCCTAGCTGTCCCTGAGGCAAAGTGCCTCAGAGGTTAACACCATGGGTTTAGCATGCAAATGTAAATGTGGACAGATAACTCAAACAGTTAAAGTGGCTATAGATAAACCTCACCTGATTTACGTTGTTCAGGTGGATATTTATTTTAGATTAATGTAAGTATTTAGTTTTACTTGCACTTGGATGTTTTACATTAGATTGGTCCCTGAACTAATATGTACCACTGTCCAATAACAGGCTGCTATAGCTCGTGCTTTTTAGGTACAGTACATGTTATGTTTTATTTTTTCTATAAATATAATATTTATGTAGTGACCTTTTGATGTTAACTTTCACATTTTAATAGAAGACCAAAGGTTACCCTGTGGGCATTAAGATCACTTTTGAGTCTGTATGTATGTTTATGTTGTAGAATGCCAATATAACTTTGTGGCTAGGGGACCAAAAAGGTACCCTAAAGGTACCGAAAACAAACAAAAAAATGACAAAAACAAACATGAGGCCTTGTTATATCCTGTGGGAGGTTTACTGTATTTGTCTTCGTGTGAGCTGTCTTTTCCTAAGCATTTAGACCTTGTGTTTAAAGACCTTAATAGAGTGTGATCTTTTCTATTTTCTCTCTCAGGCTCGGAACTCCTACTCCAACGAGGTGGTGGCCATCAAAAAGATGTCCTATAATGGCAAGCAGACTACTGAAGTAAGAAAATATACATGCTGGAAAATGTAGACATGGCACATACAATGTGAATGCTCCAGTTTTAGATGGTTTTGTCTGTGGAACCATATCAGAGGGACCAAAAAAAGAAAAACCTCAAGTGAGCATTTGGTTAGGTTTGGTCAGATAACCTTTTTTTTTTTTTTTTCTATGATGTGGGAGGTATAGCTCAGAATGCAAAAAGCAGCATTACATCATTTTCTGCTACTTCACACAACTTGATGCTATGCTTGTGAAGTTGTGAGATGTCTCATGTGGTGGTTAGTTACTCTGAAGGAACAGAAATAATGTGAAAATAATGGAAGATAATTGCCCACACCAGATGCAAAGCTTGGAACAAACACGTGTCTACCTCAAGAAAACTGCTGGAAATGTTTAGGCAGAAGCATATTTCAGAAGGCATCCTATGGGATCACAGCTTGTACTTCGGCTGAACTCAAGCCCACATCTCAGTGGTTTAGTCAACTTGTATCTTTTTATAAAACAGTGAGTGATGATTTTGTGTGAGGGCACTTGCAAGCTATTGTCCAACTTTTCCATACTAGTTGAAGTGGAGCCAGCTTTCAGTTTGTTTATTATTTATATTGGTGCAGTGCCTTTAAAGAAAACCTTTCTGTCAATAGACAATAGCAAGAGAGATACAGATGTAAAATATCTGTCACTGGTTAATGCATTGTATTTAAAGTCTTAGTTAAGTGTTAGTTTAATAGTACCTAAAGGCTGGAATCATTCTTTCCTTTTGCAGAAGTGGCAGGACATCATTAAGGAAGTCAAGTTTTTGGGACAGCTGCGACACCCAAACACAATTGAGTACAAAGGCTGCTACTTGAAAGACAACACTGCCTGGGTTTGTAGATCCTTTTCTACATCCTCTTTTTTTTTGTTCAAGTTCCTCTTTTTTTTTTAGTCTGGCAGGATACTTGATTTATCTTTCTCTCTTCTGCTCTCTCTCATTCTTTACTTACATTCTTTTGTTTTCATGTCCTGCTCGGTATGTTTTCCTACTGTGTACTTATGTTTCTTTGTGTACACTGATCAGCCACAACATCAAAACCGCCTACAGTGCACTGCCAAATCAACTCTGTCCCATTGGGGCTTCTGGTGTCTGTCATAAGAACATTGGCTGCTGATTGCTGGGTGGTGCTTCTGCGGGTTGTGCCTGCTCTGGTAGATCCCACTGATGTTTGACCAGTTTTGAATCTGCAGAGTTTAGAGGCTAGGGCTTGAGCTATTTCTACACACTGTCCTGTTACGCAAGACCTCTGCCATCAAGATAATAAGTGTTAGTCACTTCACTTTTCTGTTTGATTTTAATGTTGTGGCTAACTGTTGTACGCCCACTTCCTCTACATTCTTTAGACTAGGACTTTTCACAAACTTGACTTAAAGCTTTAATTAAAATTTATGACGGTGCTCATTCCATGTGAGTGATTAGTTTCCATTTTATTTGAGGTTTAACTATTTTCTCTTTCAGCTGGTGATGGAGTACTGTCTGGGCTCTGCATCAGATTTACTGGAGGGTATGTTTATCAGTGTTTGATATGCCAATACATTGAGATATTTCATAATTTTATAATGGCTTTTTTGTCAGTAACAGGGCGGAATTGTTAACATTTTTTTTCCAGGAAGTCACTCCTGAAACTTTTGTAAACCCGAAACTTGTCAAAACAAAACTAATGAAAAGTAACTTTGGTCTTTTAGCTTGGTTGTGCACTGTAAAGTATGCCCTTTAGCTAATTTAAGCTGTTTTAGGAGCAGAAGTAGGCTATGACTGCTTGACCTTATTGAGGATTTTTTTTGGACTACCAAAAAATAAGGAACTGGCTGCTATCAGATAACTGCAGTTATCTTTAAAAACTTGTAAAACCTCATGTTCTCCAATTTTCTGTGATTATTTGGTTCATTTTGTGGGCCTAACTAAATATTTTCTGTGATTGTATGCTTAGGGGCACTCTCCCCATTTGCGTCCTTGGATACTGGAGCAAGATAATGTAATGTAAATGTGTAATCTGCTGTAATAGTACTACATTTTAAACCACTGTTTATCGCAGATGGAAAACATATTTGTTTCTTAGATTTCAGCGCCTGGCAAAAAATATCTATATCACTTTTAAGAGCTTGAATTCCCTGAACTCCCCATCCTCTAACCACTCTTGAAGCTACTGACTTATTTTAAACACCCAAATACTCACTACTGACAGAGTACACAGTTGTGACAGTCGTTCCCAGACTGTTCTGGGGAGTTTAGCCTTTATATAAAAATTCTCAGTCGTAGTTCTGCAGTGACCTTTTGCCTTGGCACAATTTTTAGAACAGCAGGACTCGGGGTGCCAGCTTAGGAAACTCAACTGTTTACTGGGATTACTTTATTACTGCAGTGTGTGGACAGATCAGTACAGTTGGTCTTAATTATTAAAGCCATGATACTGTGCTTTCCAGAGCTGAGCACATGAAGTCTGCACTTCCACAATCTTGGATAGAAATAACTATTTGAATCATTCATGTTATTTCCGCTCAATCCATTCATTGTACTTATTTCTTCCATAGTTCATAAAAAACCACTCCAAGAAATGGAAATTGCTGCCATTACCCATGGTGCCTTGCTAGGACTGGCTTACCTACATTCCCATAATATGATTCACAGGTGAGTCTATTTCTTTCCTTGCTTACAGGCAACATAGAGTGAAAACATGGAACATGATAACATAAGACAGTTACGTTCTTCATTTATTGCAGTGTTTACGAATTAAGTTGTAAAACATCATGTCTATACTTACTCTTGGACATCACCTTCCCACCTTATTGCTGTACACAGTTGTATCTTTTAAGGTATATCTTTTAAGATATGATTGGCATCCAACAACCACATCAAATAAATCCGTTTTACTGTTCTGTATCATTTTAAGTTTCAAAGGGCATAGATTTAAAATGTCAAATCAAACATGACATCTTTAAATACCCAACTGTGTTGTGTTGGTCAAAAGTGAATAAAAACTGGACTGGCTCATTGGAGGTAGGACTAACTTGGCACATATCAGTCACCTGGCACATATGCATAATATATAAGTGGAGCTAATGTGACTTTTTCTCTTTTCTGTCTTTGCTGTCTTCATGCTCTTTTCCCTTATCCAGAGATGTGAAAGCTGGTAATATCCTGCTGACTGAGCTGGGTCAAGTCAAACTGGCTGACTTTGGCTCCGCCTCCATTGCCTCACCTGCCAACTCCTTTGTGGGCACACCTTACTGGTCAGTACACACAAGACAAACATGGAACCTCATCTGCAGAGAAGAGAAGATTAAGTTTCTTCTTTATCTTGCACATGTTCAGTACAAATGAGCTATTTTATGTCTTTTTTTTCTGCCAATTTTATTTAGACATTGTTGTTGGCAGATGTTTGTTGTTCTAGAGTCATGCACCTAGACATGCAACATGTTAGTCATTATTAATTCAGTTTGAGAAAGAACTGACAAGATTTTTTTTTAAATTCATATTAATAGTTTTCCGCAATTGGCTTTCAATTGTTTATGCACTAAAATAAAATATTCACTCACATATTCACAGCAGCTTTAATGGTAAACAAAGGCATCCCATATACTGGTGGACTAGTAGTCATGCATACGAAAAATTGTCACACAAGTATAGAAACATATATTCCAAAAACTAAGCTGCTATCACAGCATACCAGAGTCTTTAAAAACTCTGAGAAGCTTAGAAGATTATAACATTTTCATGGATTTTTTCCATACTTGATAAAGTGTGTGCATACGCGTGTGTCTGCCTTTGTATTCAGGATGGCCCCAGAAGTGATCCTAGCCATGGACGAGGGCCAGTATGAAGGAAAAGTGGACATCTGGTCACTGGGGATCACTTGTATTGAACTGGGTGAGCAAACACCTACCCAGTGGTCAAATAATACATTTATTGGCTCAGACTGAAATTCAGCAGACTTAAGCTGATTAAAAGTTATTTGTTTGTACTACTTATTCTTTAGACTTCAGCTTCTCCCTCATTCAAGGAGAAGCTGATGCGAAAATGTGCACACTGTATATGTTATTCTCACATCCTTTCTCATTTTAGCGGAACGTAAACCACCCTTGTTCAACATGAATGCCATGAGTGCCTTATATCACATTGCCCAGAACGACTCTCCCACACTGCAGTCCAATGAGTGGTAAGTTTTAGCACCTTGATGTTACAAAATTACCATACACCCAAAAAAATCCAGTATAACCACCGATATAATGCATCCAGTCAACCGTGAACATTAAAGTCCATTCTAGTCAGGGTTCAGCCAGAGTAAGACATCCCTGTGTTAATCTGCATGACCTGTGATCCCTGCCACAGGCCATGTGCAAGGGCACACTCTAAGTCTCTTATGTAATTACCTGGGAAACAGCTACCAAAGAAACACACTGCAGCTACCCACACCATTTCTACTGAGCTTTGAGGCAGCATCTAAACAAAACAGCACGATTATTCTCCTGCTATTCCAAGTAATTTAACTCACACTTTAAGATTGCCATACTAACATACAAATATATTTCTCCATGCACGTATGAGGTGTTCTAAATATGGGAAAACAGCTTGCTTTATGCATTATTTTATGCAGCTTTCAGCCTCACAGCTCATGACTGCGGAAGCTAATAGATTCTCTAGGGAATGTCCTTCCAGACATCAAAAAACATTTAGCAATTTAATTTAGGCCAGCAGGTTTTAAACAGCTCTTTGCTGTCTCTTTGCATCACCATTGTCAGACAAGACCAGCGGAGCTGCTATATATTGTCATGAAATGTTTATGTCATCTAAAAAACTGAGAAACGGCATTTAAAACTGATATGCTTTTTTGTAAAGTCAAGAAAAAAGCTTAAATGAATTACTGTTTAACAACAAATCTCATCATAAAAGGTATACATTTGTTTTATCTGGAGGACTATAAGAAGTGAAATCATTTATTCAATATACAGTTGGCTTAGTTAGTAGAATAATCCAAGCACTCTACATAAGCCACCATAGCTTAGCTTTTTATGTTTTTTATTCTCAGTTAATGAATAAATGCTATATAAGCTATATAATATTTTTATATCTTTATATTTATTGTATGAACAATGGGCTCAGTATTAGCTAGCACAATCTTGGTAGTAAAGGAATAATTTGGGAACAGAAGAAAAGCGGATACATATTCAGCAGCATGTATGGACCGAGAACTAGGTGATCTCAATTAGCAAAAAATGCAAGACACTGGCAGGAATTTAGCAAAGGAACAAATATGCTACTGCTCCTCTGAGTTGCTGTAACCACAGCATGTGTGGTATGATTGTCCTTAGGGAAACGGCACTCATCAAATATTAACCCTGTGCTTGATGTTCTCCCTGTAATTTACTCCTGTGTACTTCTGCCATGCTGTGACTGCCATGGTATGCATGTGATGTCCTAGGTATGCAGTGTCGTGCAGGAGTTCCTTGTAATATGTTGTAAAAATTTGTCTCTGTCACACAGCTCCTCAGGAGTAGCTGAATGCAACCGTTTACCTGCCTCATACTGTAGAACATGTGCATCAGTTCCACACAAGCGTTCATTAAATAACAACCTTTCTTTTAAAACCTTTAAGTAGGCACGAGTATTGTGAGCAGGTCATGAGAAACGTGAGGCAAGGCAGTTCTTTAAAGTTAAAACTTGCTGCCTATGACATCTGTTGTAAAATTAGTGTTGATTTCTAGTATCGTGCTTTAGGTGAGCGATTGTGTGGGACAGCACAGGGTTGTGGTATTTTTGGAGGAGCTCCAGGGGCCCGAGGCATTAGCAACATCCAGATGAGACAAGTAGAGACATTGGCTTCATACACAAACACAAGGCCAGACTGTGAACACATTCGCATGACCTACAAGACTAAGCATGGATCTATGCTAGCAACTGAGAGAGAAGTAGAGGTTGAGGGAGATCTCAGTCGTATACCCTCAGTGTGTATTTTAATAAACGTAAAGAGCATTCCAGTCTATTTTATCTTAACAACTCATAACAGCAAACAAAACATATGGTGGTATATCTACTGTGCTAGATTACCATGATTAGATATTTAGACCACAGCTCCACTGGCCTATATTTTTATTGCTCCACATATTTACATAATCCATATATAATTCCCATTCGGGGCTACACTAAGAGATTATGCAAGATTGTTCTACTTAAGTCACTGATATATTAAACACCAAAGAGCTGTGGATTGCTCCTCCTTGTACATTAGTCATTAATTGCCAAAAAGGACAGATGGCATGGCTTTTTAGCTTGTCACTGTCATTTCTACTTAAAATTTTTCTAATTTTAAAAATATTAGTCCAAGAAGGACTATGACTGACTTCTTTCTCATTGTCCTCTTTACCTAGGTCTGACCTCTTTCGCAGCTTTGTTGACTATTGCCTGCTGAAAATTCCTCAGGACAGACCCTCGTCGGGGGAGCTGCTACGAGTGAGTGGGTTTCCTCAGTAATCTTTCTAGCTGTGACCTCACTTCCTGTCTCAGTCAGTCATGAGGATGAGTCACTCCCATCCACCCACGGCTCCCTAATACGCAAGCATATATACACTGTCTTCTTCAAGCACAGGAATCAAGCATCCTACTGAGATTTTTTTTTAATTTTATTCCCCCCGTTGCCTCACAGCCAAGGGATAAGACACAGGAAGACAATTGAGCTCCATTTTATATGGTGTAATAAAATGAGTAGAAGGACAAAGAAAATAAATTTGTGTTGGACATAAATAATTGCATTTGAGTACTGATGTTGTGGAACCGCAACGGTTGTTTTACCTTAAAACTCATATATAATATAACTCATCTAACCCCTTAAAACGCAAAATGTTACTGTTGTCAAACACAGATAAAATAATCTCGTAAAACTTAACGCTTAAACCTGCAAGTTGTTGTTTTTTTTTTGTTTTTTTTAAGCCATCCTGCCAGTGACAGCCCAAATGTATCTCCAAAACCACAATGAGCATACACGCTGATAATCCATGCATGTCCATTGTGTTTCCCTGTGATTGAGGAGATGATCTTTTTGTTTGTGTGACCAACAGGTAATCCTATTGGTGCACTAAGAGTTTTAAGTTCTTGGTGATCACGCTCAGTGGTGTTGAAGCCCAAGCAGGACTTTTCACACCTGTCTCACTTTATGGAGGAAGGTGTGAGGTTAGGAAGTGGTTAACTAAAGGGATCTGGACTGTTGTCTGGATAGGATGGGGCTTTTGACTGGAATGCACTCTTCCAAGCACCCCTGACCCAAATCCTTACTGAAAAAACCATTAAAGAGGGATAAGTACCAAACAGACTTTGGATCAGTGTCCAAGGGCCTGCTTTAAAGTGAAGGGCTTGGGGGTTGGGGTGTTAGTTTATGATTAATACCCCACTTTCTCTTCTGAGACACACACAAATTTACTCTTCATTTTAGTGCAAGCACACACACATAGACACACACACACAGGCACATGCCCCTCCAAGCGCTTTAAAGGGAAAATCAGGTCACTAATCTGTGGGCCTTGAGCTACTAGTGTACTGGCTTCAGGTTAAATTCACTCTCTGTCCTTTAAAACCTCATTCAGAATAATGGTAATTACGAAAAATAAAAGAGTAACCATTCAGTGGCCTCAACCCCCCGTAAGTACACTTCGTTTAAACGAACATATTCACTTGAATAGTTGAAACTAACTCTGAGTTTCTCAGCTGTATAAATTTACTTACTAACTACAGATATTTACAGCACAACAGCAACTTCCCAGAGCATGAAAGGAAGTGTTCAAATTTAATTTTGTGTTTGACTAATCATCTAAAACTAATAGCATAATTGAGTTGCCCTATTTTACAAGAAAAATCAGTTCAGTGGATGGAATCATCTAAATGTTTGCTTTTTTGAATTCATGATTTCAATAACTGATTTATGAATGAGTGTTTTGTGATTGTTTTCAATGCAATATGTAGCTTAGACTAAGCAGGAAATGATAAGGTTTGCAAAGATGATGTGTTGCGAGTAGCTGGTTAGACTACTTGGTCTACTAATTCTCACTTTGCCCAACTTGCAAAATTCCACTAACCTCAACCTGTTTTATCTTTTGTATGTGAAACAACATACAATATGATGTGTTCATGAAGTGTTTAATATTTTCAGAATTCCCTTTGTTTCCTGTTATTATGCTAAAATTTAACTAAATGACTAATTGCTTCATCCATATACTTTCCTGCAAATATGAGATTTTTACTAGTGCGCTCATCTAATTATTTTCAAGAAAGCCAAAAAATTATAATCTCCCCAAAAATGTTGAACTATTATTTGAATACATCCAACATATTAGCCTTTTCCTTTAGTGGCTATTATTGCTATCAGTGTAGTAGATGTGGACTGGTCTAAAGTAGTAACGGTAGCCTGAAAAGTTAGTACCGGTAATAGTATGTGTCAAAAACAAATTTATCCTAAAAGAACAGGCTAAAACTGAGTATGGATGAGTACTTCTGGTAGAAGGCAATAGTGATGCCACAATACATATACCAGACAAGACTCCAGGTGCTGTAGATTTGCTGTCACTTCTTCTTTACACTAACCTCATAATGAGGAGGAATCCTTGAGATAACTTCACTGGATGATGGGATGGGGGTGGCCAACCACCCACATTCTGCTGTAAGTCAATCAGAAAATGGGACAAATCACTTTCATCTCTATTTTCAGTGTGTGATGTCATTCCTCTGTGTCCTGACTAACCCATTACACCGGCATCTGTCACATGGAGAGGAAGGTGTGCAGAGTTGGCTAAAAATACACCTAAATATATGTTGTTTTTTTTTCATGCAGAATATAATATTTTAGTCACGTACCTTTAGGTTGAATACATTTTAGCCTTTTATGCAGCCAATATTTTATGAATGACACTGACTAAGAGGAGGTGTGAACATGTTTGTGTGTTGTAGTGGGAGGAAGTGCTGGGCAGAAATATCTGTTCTGTTTTTATTTGTTTTGCTTTTTTATTCTTTTTTTTTTGACACCCCTAAATTGTTTGTAAAAACAAAAACAAACAAATGAAAAAAACACAAATTAAAAATAGCCATCCACTATCACTCGACCCCCACCTTCTCTCCCACAACCCACCAATCCCACTCTGACCCGTTGGTTATTCATTGTGCATTTATGTAATTATTCAATGTCCCAACCTCCACCAAATTGCACCTACATTAGATTACAGAGGTTCATCTCACTTGCACAGGACAGACTCAGCAATGATAATCACCTAAATGATCTCCATAGAAGTGTGAAACCATTATATCATTCACTGATCATATTTTTAAAAGGAAGTCTGACCTTTCACATATTTTTTTTTTTTCTTCTGGAAGGATTTTTCTTTCTTTTAGTAAATAACAAGGTCCATTTTGCTTTGCTATGCCCTGATAGAAGAACTCCTAAGTATGTTTGTTTTTCCTCCACAGAGGTTAATGTGTGTAGCTCATTCTTTAAAAAAAAAAAAAAAAAAAAAAAAACACAAAAGCAAAGGATACACATTAAATGACTAAAATCTCTCAATTATCAATGCTTAGTGGGATTTTTGTTATATGACCTGATTTAATTAAAGTTCTCATTAACTTGGTGCAAGGCCAAATGCATTTCAAACAGTATTTATTGAAATGAGAAGGATTAGGAGTATTTATAAAAATCGATTATATGGACCTTCTCAGAGACTGTAGTAGAGCGTATTGAGTGCTGGGACCAGAATGGGTTGAACAACCTACAGGCGCCCTCTAGTGATTGCCAGAGTTGTTGTGCTCATTGAAATAAAATTTTAGACATGTTTAAATGACTTCCAAATATTTACGAACAACAACTTAAAAGATCTGTAAATGGTGCCAATGTTTAAGATAATGCAAAAGAAAGTAATTAATATATAAAATTTTCATCTTCATTCCGGTTCAGCTTATTTTATTTCCCTTTTAAATGTTTACTGCCAATATTGTAAGTAGTCTGAGTCAATACTTTCTGAATTTCTATTGAAAAACTGGGAAGAAAACATCCATAATGTTCAGTTTAAATTAAACTGTATGACATGAAGACAGCAATTGAAATGCAAATAAAAAAGATAACCCTAATAGAAAGATTAGCTTTAGTTTCTAAACCAAGTATTTTCCTCCTTGTATTGTAATAAAGTCTGACTAAAACCTTGAACGAAGTAACTGACTGTCTGTCTTTTTCTCTTCAGCATGATTTTGTACGTCGGGAACGCTCGCCACGCATTCTCATTGACCTCATCCAGAGGACCAAGGATGCAGTGCGTGAGCTCGACAATCTGCAGTACCGCAAGATGAAAAAGATCCTATACCAGGAGAAACACAACGGGCCCTTGGGAGAGAGCCAGGAGGAGGAGGAGGTGGGAGGAAGAAAAAAAAAAAGGGAGAAGGGAGGTTAATGGGGAAACAGTTTCTGCATCAAACTTAAATATTAAACAGACAAATGAATGTTAAAAGAAAAAACTCTGCAGAGTGCATGATCACAGGGAGTGGCACCAGAAACAGTTCTTCAATTCTTAACAATAGTTAATATGAAGATGAAAAATTGCATATATGTAGCCACAGTCTTTAAGTAGCAGAGTTGCACTAAAATGAGGTTTGGATTCAGTTAATCTGCAGAGTATTTTCGCAAAGTAATTGAAATAATTATTATATTTAAAATTTCCATCACCATTACATAAAAAAGTGCTTGTACTTGACACCAATGACAGAGTTTAAGCTCATTATTTCACACAGTTCTCTATCTGTAGGCCAACAGATGATTTCAGACAAAAGGTTGAGGGACAGCATAGTTTATCTGCATCCTCAGGATGACACTTAAGTCTCAGAGATGGTGACTCCACACTAGTCAGTACTGCTTCAGCACTTTGAAATCACAACAAATGGGAGTCTTTCTCATGCAGTCTTGGTAGCCTGAGATGAAATGTCCTTTAACTGACCTGGCCTGAAGTAAAGTGAACAGTTATGGACAGCTCGTAGCGACAGTAATGTCATCCTACACCATGTGACACAATTCACAGCAGCCACCAGACCTTGGTGCAACAAGACACTGCTGAAAGCCTTACCCTGAAAAACCTGCTGTACCAATCCTTGTTTTATGTGGAAAGACTGAGTAAATATCCTGTCCTGTTGCCTTAGACCTAAGTGAATTGGCTTTTGCTTCTAAAAGCTACACAGTTTCATCCCGTATCTGTCTTGTACACCTTCAAGTTGACTTGAAATCTGAAGACCTCTGCCTGACCACTGCCCATTAACATAAGCTCAGATGCTACTGAATGACTCAGACACACACATCTTAACAATTAGAGGTTAATAGGCAATTTAGCATGACTTTGACTCTAATGCAATCTATAGGGCATCAGTGATTCCCCCCCCCCCCGCCGTTTGTATTGAGGCAACTCCATTTAATGGTACAGTTTGAAGAAAGCCTGGGTATAATTGGGCGAAGGTCACGGGTGACTTTTGTATATTTCAGTAGCATGTTCCTTGAGTGTTTGTGTACATTTGTGTTTCTGAACACGTGTATATGTTGTGCGCACTTGCAGGACAGCGAGGCAGCCAGCTGTAAGATGAACAGCCTGGGCAGCAACCACTCTATTCCCAGCACCTCGGTTAGCACGGGTAGCCAGAGCAGCAGCGTGAACAGCATGCAGGAGGTGTTGGATGACAGCTGCTCTGATATGACCATGATGCATCCCCAAGACTACAGCAGCACCCTGGACTCCTCCCCACACACCAAGAAGGTAAAAATTAAGGGTGAAGACGGGATGGTGATTAAGGCTGAAAGTTTGAAACCACTATTGGGAGTTCTTATTGTTCCCAAAGCCTTTTAACTGAGCATCAGCCATCATACTCAAACAGTGTTAATCTCATTTTTTTTAAAACTAAATACAATTTAAAATATTAATTAATTAAAAAATATATAAAACTGGAGACAGTTTTGTGACAGCCGGAGACTATGAAATAATTAAAGAATAATTTCAACAACTACTAGCAACAACTGTCCAAACAACCACTGAAATACCGAGTTCATCTAAGACCAGCTACTGCAGTGACAACCAGAGGGTGTGAAGGATACTCGATTCATATATATAACCAAGTGGGAAATATGTAGGCAGCACGGTGGCA